GACTCTTATATGTTGAGTCAGGGTGTGAATGTTCTATGTTATATTTTCTATGTTGGTGATCTAGTATGTATAGTTCTATGTTGGCCGGTGTGGTTCCCAATCAGAGGCAGCTGTCGCTCATTGTCTCTGATTGGGGACCATACTTAGGCAGCCTATTGGCACTGTCTAGTTGTGGGATCTTGTTCCGTGTAAGGTATGTTGTGTGTGTGCTACCTTGGACTTCACGTTTCGTTTAGTTTGTTGTTTTGTCGTTGTGTTTATTTGGTTTAATAAACATGTACGTATATCACGCTGCGCCTTGGTCTGACCCGTCCTTCAACGAACGTGACATCATCAGCGTACAATGACACCTTTATTTTTAAGCCCTGGATTTCTAATCCCTTGATATTATTGTTGGATCAGATTTTAATAGCTAATTTTTCAATGGCCATAATAAATAGATATGCCGATAGTGGACAACCTTGTTTTACTCCTCTTGACAGTTTAAAACTTTAGGAGAAATAGCCATTATTTACTATTTAACCCATTTTATAAGAGATTCTCCAAAATTGAAATGCTCCAGGTATTTATATATAAACTCCAGTCGTACTTTATCAAATGCCTATTCAAAGTCTGCTATGAATAGCAGGCCTGGTTACCCAGATTTTTCATAGTGTTCTATTGTTTCCAATACTTGCCTTATATTATCTCCAATGGATCGTCCATGTTAAAAACCTGTCTGATTAGAATGAATAATGTCTGACAATTCTATGCGCTATACATTTTGCTAGGATTGTTGCATCACAACACTGAAGTGTAAGGGGCCTCCAATTTTTTTAATGGACTGGATCTTTATATTTCCCACTTGTATCCTGTTTCAGTAATAATGAAATCAGACCTTCTTCTTGAGTGTCTGATAATCTACCATTTACACACACATTATATTTTTGTTGTTGTATTGTTTGAACTATTATTTTAATTAAATGTTTTGGTATTGTTTGTATATCCTTGTATTTTAAATTTGTAAGACTGTCCTTGTCTATCAATGTATAAGTGTTTAGTCACTTCGCATGTGTTGTGTTTTTTGTGGACCCCAGGAAGAATAGCTGCTGCTTCGGCAAAAGGTAATCGGGATCCGAATAAACCAATACACAATTTGTTATAATGGTTTATGATAACTTGATAAACCATCTATACATTAATACTTAACTTGTTTATAAGCTACTTACAAGCCCTTTATAAAGCCTTTATAAACTATACCTTAATGTAAAGGATTACCAAATAGATGCAAGAAAATGGCTAAAATCATATACATTGAGGGAAAAAAGTATTTGATCCCCTGCTGATTTTGTACGTTTGCCCACTGACAAAGACATGATCAGTCTATAATTTTTATGGTAGGTTTATTTGAACAGTGAGAGACAGAATAACAACAACAAAGATCCAGAAAAACGCATGTCAAAAATGTTATAAATTGATTTGCATTTTAATGAGGGAAATAAGTATTTGACCCCTCTGCAAAACATGACTTACAACTTGGTGGCAAAACCCTTGTTGGCAATCACAGAGGTCAGATGTTTCTTGTAGTTGGCCACCAGGTTTGCACACATCTCAGGAGGGATTTTGTCCCACTCCTCTTTGCAGATCTTCTCCAAGTCATTAAGGTTTTGAGGCTGACGTTTGGCAACTCGAACCTTCAGCTCCCTCCACAGATTTTCTATGGGATTAAGGTCTGGAGACTGGCTAGGCCACTCCAGGACCTTAATGTGCTTCTTCTTGAGCCACTCCTTTGTTGCCTTGGCCGTGTGATTTGGGTCATTGTCATTCTGGAATACCCATTCACGACCCATTTTCAATGCCCTGGCTGAGGGAAGGAGGTTCTCACCCAAGATTTGACGGTTCGTGGCCCCGTCCATCGTCCCTTTGATGCGGTGAAGTTGTCCTGTCCCTTTAGCAGAAAAACACCCCCAAAGCATAATGTTTCCACCTCCATGTTTGACGGTGGGGATGGTGTTCTTGGGGTCATAGGCAGCATTCCTCCTCCTCCAAACACGGCGAGTTGAGTTGATGCCAAAGAGCTCGATTTTGGTCTCATCTGACCACAACACTTTCACCCAGTTCTCCTCTGAATCATTCAGATGTTCATTGGCAAACTTCAGACGGGCCTGTGTATGTGCTTTCTTGAGCAGGGGGACCTTGCGGGCGCTGCAGGATTTCAGTCCTTCACGGCGTAGTGTGTTACCAATTGTTTTCTTGGTGACTATGGTCCCAGCTGCCTTGAGATCATTGACAAGATCCTCCCGTGTAGTTCTGGGCTGATTCCTCACCGTTCTCATGATCATTGCAACTCCACGAGGTGAGATCTTGCATGGAGCTCCAGGCCGAGGGAGATTGACAGTTATTTTGTGTTTCTTCCATTTGCGAATAATCGCATCAACTGTTGTCACCTTCTCACCAAGCTGCTTGGCGATGGTCTTGTAGCCCATTCCAGCCTTGTGTAGGTCTACAATCTTGTCCCTGACATCCTTGGAGAGCTCTTTGGTCTTGGCCATGGTGGAGAGTTTGGAATCTGATTGATTGATTGCTTCTGTGGACAGGTGTCTTTTATACAGGTAACAAGCTGAGATTAGGAGCACTCCCTTTTAAGAGTGTGCTCCTAATCTCAGCTTGTTACCTGTATAAAAGACACCTGGGAGCCAGAAATATTTCTGATTGAGAGGGGGTCAAATACTTATTTCCCTCATTAAAATGCAAACCAATTTATAACATTTTTGACATGCGTTTTTCTGGATTTTTTTGTTGTTATTCTGTCTCTCACTGTTCAAATAAACCTACCATTAAAATTATAGACTGATCATGTCTTTGTCAGTGGGAAAACGTACAAAATCAGCAGGGGATCAAATACTTTTTTCCCTCACTGTAGGTGAGAATGACACAACCACTTGCGAAGTTTTCCAGTTGTCTTGTTTTGGTTGATTTACGGTCCTATAATGTTTTTTTTGGCTGGGCACCAGGCAATGGTTCAACATACTGTAGATATTCCTCCCGTCCTAGATTCTAGGCGCTGACCTCGTCGTTTCCAAGAAGTTGCGAGTGTAAGAGAGCAAATGTATTCAAGCAAATAAATTGACTAGCCGACCATAGTTTGCAGAACTAACCCACATAGGGTCAAGTAAACAAAGATGTATTACAATAGTTCTAAAGAAGAACGATTTGATTTACAGACCTATTGTACAGGGAGTTAGTGTGATATGTGCACATGGAGTGTTTATTGTTCATGTATGTGCATTGACGGTAGGAGAAAGAGACCTGACAGCACTATACGTACATGTGTGGTCTGTTCAAGGAATTTTGTGATAACGTTGACTGAAAGTGTGTGTGACAGGTTAAGTGAATGCTGTGTGTGAACTGTTTGAGGACTTTGTAGGGCAACAAGCTTCTACATCTGTATTGCTTGCTGTTTTGGGTTTTAGGCTGGGTTTCTGTATAGCACTTTGTGACATCTGCTGATGTAAAAGGGGCTTTATAAATACATTTGATTGATTGATTGATTGAAATTGGCAGAAAACGGGGTTGGGGTAGATAGATAGGGGATGATGATGGGTAATAAACTGTGGCCGGTCTATTTTTAAATAGGTCTGTGGTGGCACCCTGGGAAGATCGCTCTGTGTGTGTTTGGTGCTCTGTGTGTATTTGTATCTGCATGTGAGGGAATGTGTTTGTATGTAGGCCTATGCATGCCAGGGCATCATATTATGGTCATTGAATAGTGTTCAGTTACTCGCACAACACAACGCAAATGTATCGTAACAAGCAGCCATTCTGTTCCAATCTATCCTGGATCTTGTTTGTCATGATAAGTGAATGAATGACACAGTCACTGTGTCCTCTTGTGGAGTGAAATGGCCCAAATACATAAAATGGCCTCCATATTGCCGTCCATTTGTAATGGAGACTATGACAGATTCTACTGGCATTATTCTGGGATTTTTTTGGAGCACCCTGCTGTGCAGACAAGCAGATTTATGTCGTATCTTAATACCAGTTCCTTCTATGGTGACGAGTATGGCTACTCGTTGAAGGCCCACTGCCTAGTGCACGCAGTTCACATTATGGAGTGATAGTCATGGCCCACTGGGCATAGACGTCAGTTCAACGTCTAGTTTTGATTTACATTTGGTTGAGTTAACGTGAATTCAATGTGAAATCAACTAAACATATCATCACATGTCATTGGATTTAGGTTAAAAGTTGGGTGAAAAAATATGAAATACCATTACGTTGATTACTTTTTACAAATCCAGTCAGTTTTCCATGTTGATTCAACGTCATCACAGAATGTTTTTGTTGAAATTACATGGAAACCACGATGATTCAACCAGTTTTTGCCCAGCGGGGTGCTTGCAGTCGCAGTTGTTATTCTACCCTCCGTGTCCAATCATTAAAAAAAATCTGAAATCTTGTCAATGTTCTTGGTTAACGCAATACAATAGAGTAGCTATATAACTTACTATAGAATCAACACAAAATGCATAAGACTGTGTAAATATCATATCAATCTAGAGAGGTAGGTCTAGGAAAACTTTGAATTTATGAGTTTAATCCGAATTTTAACTCATAATAAACATTTTATTAGACTCAATTCCAACCACAATAAATTATGACGTACAGATGATATTTACATATTATAAAAAACATTAGAATACAGAAACACCATCATCAAGTCACACTTAGAATTTACTAGATTGAACACATCAACATGCTAATTTATAAAGTGCTTACAAGTCCCTATAGTAACCAAATGCAGCTGTGTCTATCCCCAAAGGCTATCCAGTATCAACAATGACTTGATGGCTATTTATCTTACAAAAAGTGCAACTGTAGTGGTATTATATACTGTACAATGTCTTTTTAAGCACCAATGTGACACATCAGAGGATATGTATTGTTTTCTGGATGTCAAAAATATTTTCTCTTTCACCTGTGAGTTTGTAGGTTTATGATCGTGTGTCGCCACTCCATTATCTCTCTCCCCTTCCCTCCCTCTCTTTTTCGTTTCTGATTACCTCTCTCCCTCTCATTTTCTTCCTCTCCTCCTCCAACCGTATCTTCTCCTCCTTCCGCAACCAGTCTCCTCCGAGGTAGCCCAGTACATCGTCAGGCCTACCACGAAGCCCAGGCTGCGGGTGGAGAAGTGCCTGAAAAAGGGAGCAGGCCAGTGGGGTGAAATAGGCAAACTGGGGGGCGACCGGATGGGATTTTTTCTTGTTCAGATTCTGCTTGTCTTCATCCAAACTCATCATGATGTCCTCGTCTTTTCCTTCCCCCCATAGGTCTAGATCATCATCCTGAACATCTTGATCTTTCTCCTGGTCAAACCACTCTTTGTACTTGATGTACGAGCGGTCGTCGGATGCGGTCTCCGTCCAGGGTAGACTGCCAGTCAGCATGGCGTAGATGAGGATCCCCAAGGCCCAGCAGTCTGTACTGGCCTCCACCGACACCCACACCCTCTTGATCTTGTTGTCCAACCCATTTCCTCCATCAGGTTTTGAAGCAGTATTATGGCTACTATCCTTCGCTATCTCTGCCTCGGGTGTACAGTAAGCAGAACTGTACCACACACCGGGTACCTTGGTTCCCGTGGCCTTGGCCATGCCGAAGTCACCCAGTTTGACCCAACGGCAGGCAGCGTCGACCAGGAAGATGTTCTCGGGCTTGACGTCGCGGTGGACGAAACCAAGGGAGTGGAGGTGGGTTAGGGCACTGCTCAGCTGGGACACCACCCTCTGGACACAGTTCTCCTCCAAACCCACCTGGGAAAAAGACATAGAGGCACAATTGAACTACATTTCCCACTCTTACGGCTCTATTCAATCAGATCCGCTTTTGCTGACATCCGCGTAGTGGTTGTTTTGACGGTATCGGGAGGTGGAACTGCGTTAGAGTTGTCAAATCCACAAGTGTCTCCCGGCATTATACCTAAAGCGGGCATTGCCGTCGGCTGCAGGGAGTCACATTAACAGAAATCCCATGCAGCCTTGTTTACAAGTTCGAACACTGGAATGTGAGATGTCATCTACACCTTGATTAGGATTATAGAAATCCTCATTAATTTAATTCATGATTTTTCAATTTGAGTGTAATTATTTCTATATAGCCTACACTTTCTTGCTCTGAACTTCTAACATGAGTGGGGAGGGTGTGGCTTCGTGACAATGATCACAAGAGCAGCTGCTCACCGATTTGAAGTCTCCAACGCAGTTACACCTCCAACACCGCCAAAACATGCACTATGTGGGTGTCTGCTATTGCCAGTTAACTCTTGATCTGATTGAATCTAGACCTTAGTTAGCAAAGATTCATAAGAAAATAATGACAAATGTCTCATGGGAGGGGAGGTTTTTCCCACATATACTATACCTCAGGGACAATGACTTCGTATAGATCACCGAAGAGGCTAGCTTGCTGGGCGAAAACGTAATGTGAGGGGGTGGAGAAGGCAATGCCCAGTGCCTTGGTCAGGGACGGGTGGGTGCAGAAGGAGAGGGAGAGGTTATACTCTCGTAAAAAGGAAAAGAGATTTGTGGAATCACGAGGAAAGAACTTCAGGGCCATTGGAGTACCTTGAGGAAGGAAAAAGAGAAAGGTGATCAGAACAAAATAAAGAAAGAAATTCTGGAGATATGAGGCCAGACAAACTGGGTTTAAGGTTAAAACAGACACATAGTTTACCTCTTTTCCTATGTACAGCCAACATGACCTTCCCGTACGACCCCTCCCCTAACATCTTGACCACCTGGAAGTGGTCCGAGGTCTCCAGTGATATAAGCGATTGGACGGTGAGATGGCACATCTCGTCCAATAACCTTGTGGCAGCCTGCGGAGATGGGAACATAACAGATATCTGTTATGATGCTTGTCGTCATGACGATTTTGGCAGCACTAAACCAGGTATAAACACATCCCTTTATAGCCCTATGAACAGCTCAAAGGCTCTTAATGGACAGTTTTTGGACACCCCCCTTTTCAACAAAGCCTTTGATTTATCCGATCGACTGTTTACTTTTTCATTGATTGGCACCAGACAGGCAATTGTGGGATTTTTCTGTATTAGCCAACCGGATCGGCCCCAAGACACCCCATTAGTACATAGAGAGCCATGGATATATAAATATCTGAGTGGCATAGCTAGCTCCACAGGGGTAAGCCCAGCCCAGCCCCCTGCCAGCGTGGCATAACCTGAACAGCCTGTAGGGACATGGGCTTAACACCTTGGTTATGTAACTTCGTGTTAAGGGAAACGGAGGCGTGTGGTTTGAGATGAAAGTTGTCCTGCCCTGTACCCCACTACTACTCAATATGTCAATGGATTATAATATACAATGCTGTGGAACATTTCATATCAATAGTGTAAGCATAAACAATATATGGAGTGATTAATATGAATAAATATAGCAGGTAAGCATTTTATAATAACTATCATGAACAAGCATTAGTAAACTGTTAATGAATAGGTATTTTATTATTTAAAAAATATTTATTAGCGTTTATAAGTGTTACAAGGATTCCAATTCATAAGCTTTTATAACATTTCTAAGCATTTATTAAGCATTTAAAAACATGTATAAGCATTTCAAATGGCTTATGCATGAAAGTTATTATAAAGTGTTACCAAATAGTGTACACTACATAATCAATTTTCCTTATCTAATAACCTGCTGTCTAATATCAGGAACAGGTTTGATCACATTTTGTCACATAATGGGGACATCTCACATCGGTTTAAGGCACTGCTGTTGCCCCCCCCCCCCACCACACACACACAATAATTTTATACATTTTCCCAGTGCAATAAAATGTTATTTTTAAATAATATGTTTAGAAAAATTAAATCAATTTCAGAAGAAGTCAGCATCTTAGAAAACTACTCCAAATGTCTTCCTAAATCTTGATGAATCTTGGCTGAATGAAACACATTGCTCAAAATTCTTTCTTGGTTGCAGAGGAAAATGGGGTGAGTGGATGGCTTACTTACTGTCATTTTGGCTCTGTGGTTGACTTCAGTCTCTTTCACAGTGATATTGTGATGTTCCTCACAGACAAGTTGCAGTGAATCTGTATCCCTGCCCACATCTACCAAGTAGTGCACCTTTCAATAACACTTCCACAACACATAGGCTGCACATTAGCTCTTCCAACCATAAGGTAAAAGAGTTCTTGCTCTAGAGATCTTGTAGAGTAGTTGTCCGTGTCTGTCTTTCTCAGCAAAGGCCCCTCTATCTCTCCTGTTGGTGCGTTTTGATATCTCCTCCCCTACTTTAATCCCTACATTATCTCGCTCCGCTTTTCCTCTCCTCCTGCACTCCTCCCAGGTTCTCTCCCTCCCACTGGATTCTCTGGTGAGCTGTCTGTCCCATCAGTCGAAGGCCAGCCCCTCCCACTGGTGCCTTTCCCTCCCTGTTGTGGAGCCCAAGGCCAGTCAATATTTTGAGTTTGATCTGTCAATCAACAAATTTACGCCTGTGTTTATCCAAACACTTGTCTAGACTCTCTCCCTTTTTCCAACGGCACCTCTCTCTCACTCACAAACACATAGACAGTGGACACACATTCTCTCTCTCTCTTTCTCTCTCTCTCTCTTTCTCCCTCCACGCTTGCTGCATTCCACCTTTAAAGAGGAGCGAGAGAGGGCATGCCGCTCTGACAAACCTGTGCTTGGATAACCACTTGTGACCTGTGCTTAACAAGCGGCACACACTCCATCACAGGCTTTCAAATGACTGCCTCTTTTCCTCAACTTTTCCACCTGTTTTGTGCCTCTTTCTTTCTTTCTCTCTCTCTCCAACTCCCTCTCTCCCCTCGTTTGACAAACAGAACAGCTGAAGGGGGTAGCGCACCAAAACAGCTTTATAGTGCGATCCTCTCGTACCTTGAGTGCCTGCCAACTCTATTTCCTCCAGCTTGCCAACTATCTCCCCCACCGCCACCCATCCGACCAGCTATCCTGCCCAACACCTTTTCTAACTCCTCCAGCCCCCCTTGGGGCAGATCCATTTCTCTGCGACTAGCATTACCACGCAACTTACAACTGTACTGTCACTTTAGCTGTGTTAGCGTTATGTCATCTGTGTTACGTGATCCTCTGTAGCTCAATGTGGTCCTCTGTAGTTCAATTGGTAGAGCATGGCGCTTGTAACGCCAGAGTAGTGGGTTCGATCCCCGGGACCACCCATACGTAAAAATGTATGCACACATGACTGTAAGTCGCTTTGGATAAAAGCGTCTGCTAAATGGCATATTATTATTATTATTACGTGTTCATGTGTAGCATGTTCTGGGTGACACTTCCTTTAAAGTGTACCTACATAAAGACTTCATAACACAATCATAACACAATCATAACCTATACGTAATGCGTTCATAAGCAGTTCATAAGCACTAAATAATGTTGAACTGCGGGGGGAGCAGGTAGCTGGTCTGCGGGGGGGTGGGGGGAATGCAGGCAGTGTGCACGCAATGGTGCGTTCGGCTGAGCTTACCACCCTCTGTAGAGCCTTGCGGTCAGCGGCGGAGTTGCCATACCAGGCTGTGATGCAGCCTGACAGTATGCTCTCGATGGTGCTCCTGTAGAACACTGGGAGTGCCATCGGGGACAGGCAAAATGTTATGAGGTTGTTTACCTGGCACCATGCCGTCAGAGTGCCTACCTGCAGGCCGTCTCGTTGTTGTTGGTAATCAGGCCTGTCGTGTCATCAGCGAACTTGATGATGGTGTTGGACATATGTGAGGCCACGCAGTCGTGGGTATACAGGGAGTACAGGAGGGGACTGAGGACGCACCCTTGTGGGGCCCCCATGTTAAGGATACATGTCCTCAACATGGGGGCCCCACAAGGGTGCGTAATGTTCACCACCTGTGGGCAGCCCGTCAGGACGTACAGGACGGGTAGCAGCGTTGGGCCAGTAACCAAAAGGTTGCTGGATCGAATCCCCGAGCTGACAAGGTAAAAATCTGTCATTCCGCCCCTGAGCAAGGCAGTTAACCCACTGTTCCCCTGGCGCCGATGACGTGGATGTTGATTAAGGCAGGCCCCCACACCTTTCTGGTTCAGACGGGTTGGGTTAAATGCGGAAGACACATTTCAGTTGAATGAATTCAATTGTACAACTGACCCCTTTCCTCACATATGCATTCCTTTTGTCCAGGTGGGTGAGGGCAGTGTGCAGTGCAATGGTGATTGCGTCGTCCATGGATCTGTCGGGTGGTAGGCGAATTGGAGAGGGACAAGTGTGTCAGGGAGGGAGGAGGTTATGTGGTCTTTGACTAGCCTCTCAAAGCACTTCATGATGACGGAAGTGAGTGCTACGGGTCGGTAGTACTGCTATGAAAGCATTATGAATGTGTTATGAAGTCAATATGTACCATTAAATTAAGTTACCCAAACAGTATGTCAGTTTACATGTAAAGAATGAAAGAAATGCAGGACAACATGGTAATATATCACTGTCTTTAATTTTAGATGGGTAAATCCCATGGATATTATAATGTCTTTGTATAAAAATATTTGATGCCAGCATCACAAATATAATAGGCTCATAAATAATAAATAACTATACATTCAGTAAATACAATACAAAACAGGTTCGTAGGCTCATTCATATTTAGGGTTAGGATCAGGTTTAACCCTAACTCAAGCACATTCTTCAGTAACAGCACTGTAATAGGGATATTATAAATTACTGTATATTAAAGAAGAGGAATTTGTATTTCAACATGTAAATGATCTAACATGCTGACTAGACTGGGCACGCACGCATGTTGATTTTGTCCATGCACACCAGATGCGATCAGGACGCGCAGGTTGAAATATTAAAATGAACTCTGAACCATCTATATTAATTTGGGGACAGGTCGAAACGCATGAAACATTCATGGCCATTTAGCTAGCTAGCTTGCTGTTGCTACCTAATTTGTCCTGGGATATAAACATTGGGTTGTTATTTTACCTGAAATGCACAAGGTCCTCTACTCAATTAATCCACAGATAAAAGGGTAAACTTAGTTAGTTTCCAGTAATCTCTCCTCCTTCAGTCTTCTTCTTCTTCTTTGGACTTTATATGGCGTTTGGCAACCAACTTTAAGGTGCATTACCACCACCAACTGGACTGGAGTGTGGACCTCAGTTCAGCTTTCAATCACCCACGTGGGTATATGCTCCTAAAAACCAATGAGGAGATGTCCCCTGTAGCTCAGTTGGTAGAGCATAACGCTTGCAATGCCAGGGTTGTGGGTTCGTTTCCCACGGGGGGCCAGTATGAAAAATGTATGCACTCACTAACTGTAAGTCGCTCTGGATAAGAGCGTCTGCTAAATGACTAAAATGTAAACGCCCGTAACGCTAGCGGTGCGGTCAGCATGTTCGCAAGCGTTGCAAAATAAATTTACACATGTTATTCAATAATTTAATCCAAACTGTTTGCGTGCGTCAACGAGCGTCTGCGTAGCCAGGCGCTAAAATAGAACTTGGTTCAGTGCTTTGGAGGAAGGCATTTGTTGTCGTAAAGAGTAGGAACCTAGATGGCGGAAACCTTGATGTCAAAGGCCCTGAACTTTTGACCTAAGGAGGACCAGCACTCTGGTAGACCATTGACAGTAAAATCCTAACCGTTCAGGAATCTCGTAGGAGAGGAGGACCACGTCCCAGGTTCTGAGTTGCGTTGGGAAAGAAGGAATGGAAATCTGGGGTAGTGGGCACGCAATCTATAATGGAGGGAAAAAGGGGGGGGGAGAAGTTAGAATGGTGCGAACTAAGAATCTTATGTTACTGTCAAATATTACATCTAAACATACCAAAGTCAATTATCAAAATCTAAACGGCTTTTCCATATTTGTTATATTATATGGACGTTTTTTTCCACACCTTGAGGGTAAATTGAGGTTTCTACCACTGACATTAGTCAGCTCTTTTTGTGCCACTTCAGCTTTGTGTCTTATTGATCTGAGTGGATTGATCTAAGGGGAGTAGAATGACATTGCCCCTATACTCTTCTAAGGTCAGTTACATTTTCTCTCACTTATGGATAAGGTTTGGAATTTGACAGCGTAAGTGGATCCTAGATCTGTACCCAGTCTAACTCTCACGGTGGCAAGGCATATGAACTAACAGGTTAAAGAGCAAACAACATAATTATGACAACACATAGGTTGTAATATGGCATTTTTTTCTGGCCTGGCTTCCCCATTGATTTTGCACATGCACCACTACTGTACCCAGAGTATATTGAGCTACCTACCTGCTGTAGTGCAGTAGAGCAGAGGCTTGAGATATGCTGCAGGCCTCTGGTGACCTCTACTGTCTTGGGAGAGACTGGCAGGCTCATACTGACTCGGACATCAATCAGCCAATCAAGGTGCAGCTTAAAGGAGCGGAGATCCGTGTAAAGTTGTGAAAGGGAGTCGTTTAGCTGGGAGAGGGGAGAGAGGGCGACAAGGTGTGAATTCTAAAGACTGGGGACTTGACACTGTGTTATAAACACATTATTTAGTGCAACATCAAAAAGCTTCTGAAAAGTGATAAAGCGTCCCTGAAGCATTCCTCACAATATATTAAATAAACTGAGCAGTGATGAATTATGGTATACATTTTTGCTGCTTTAAGTCACTACATTCATATCGCTTTGTCACTTTCACACAATGTAGCACTGTATACAGTGCCTTGCAAAAGTATTCAGACCCCTTGGATTTTTTCACATTTTATTGTGTTACAAAGTGGGATAAAAATTGATTTAATTGTGAGTTTTTGTCAACAATCTACAAAAAATACTCTGTCTTTTTTCTTTTTTTTTTATGAATAAAAATGAAATAACTAAAATATAGTTGTTGCATAAGTATTCAGCTCCCTGAGTCAATATATGTTAGAAACACCATTGGCATCGATTACAGCTTCTTGGGTAAGTCTCATAAGAGCTTTGCACACATGTATTGTGCAATATTTGCCCATTATTCTTTTCAAAATTCTTCAAGCTCTGTTAAGGTGTTGGGGATCATGACTAGACAGCAATTTCCAAGTCTTGCCATAGATTTTCAAGCAGATTTAAGTCAAAACTGTAACCTGGAACATTCTCTGTCTTCTTGGTAAGCAACTCCAGTATAGATTTGGCCTTGTGTTGTAGGTTATTGTCCTGCTGAAAGGTGAAATCCTCTCCCAGTGTCTGGTGTAAAGCAGACTGAAACAGGTTTTCCTCTAGGATTTTGCCTGTGCCTAGCTCCATCCCGTTCCTTTTCATCCTGAAAAACTCCCCTGTATTTGTCGATGTCAATCATACCCGTACCATGATGCAGCCAACAGTATGCTTGAAAATAAGGAGGCAGTTACTCAGTGATGTGTTGTATTTGCTCCAAACATAAGGCTTTGCATTTAGACCTCAGTTTTCTCCCATCACAGCCATTGACTCTAGAGCTGTTTTAAAATCACCAATGGCCTCATGGTAACATCCCTAAGCAGTTTCCTTCCTGTCCTCCAGCTCAGTTCAGAAGGACGACTGCATCTTTGATGGGTCTGGGTGGTTTAATCCATCATCCACAGCATAATTATTAACTTGACCATGCTTAAAGATTTATTAAAGTCTGATTTGTTATTGTTACCCATCTACCAATCACTGCCCTTCTTTATGAGGCTTTTTCCCTGGTCTTTGTAGTTGAATTTGTGCTTAAAATGCAATATTTGACAGATTATGTCAACCCCTATTATTTCACAAGTCCATATAACTTATTGTGTGATTTGTTAAGGCAATTTTTACTTCTAAACTAATTTAGGCTTGCCTTAACAAAGGGGGTGAATACTTATGCAACGACTATATTTTTGTTATTTAACTTGTAGAATTGTCTTTTCACTTTGGCATTATGGAGTATTTTGTGTAGATCAATGACAAATAATTGCAATTAAATCTATTTCAATCCTACTTTGTAACGCAACAAAATGTGAAAAAAGTTCAAGGGGGTGTAGACTTTCTATAGGCACTGTATGTACTGTGCCTTCTGAAAGTATTCACACCCCTTAACTTTTTCCACATTTTGTTGTGTTACAGCCTGAATTTAAAATGTATTACATTTAGATTTTGTGTCGCTGATCTACACACAATACCCTATAATGTCAAAGTGGAATTATGTTTTTAGACATTTTTATTCAAAAATGAAAAGCTGAAATGTCTTGAGTCAATAAGTATTCAACCCCTGTTTTGACAAGCCTAAATAACTTCAGGAGTAAAAATATGCTTAGCAAGTCAGATAATAAGTTGCATGGACAGATTTTTTTTTTTGACTACCCCATCTCTGTACACCACACATATAATTATCTGGAAGGTCCCTCAGTTGAGCAGTTTTCCAATGCCTCGCAAAAAGTGCACATATTTGTAGATGGGTAATAAAATAAAATAAAAGCAGACATTGTTTTTAATTACACTTTGAATGGTGTATCAATACACCCAGTCCCTACAAAGATACAGTGGGGAAAAAAAGTATTTAGTCAGCCACCAATTGTGCAAGTTCTCCCACTTAAAAAGATGAGAGAGGCCTGTAATTTACATCATAGGTACACGTCAACTATGACAGACAAATTGCAGAAAAAAAATCCAGAAAATCACAAAATGATCACAAGAACGGTGAGCAAAAATCCCAGAACCACACGGGGGGACCTAGTGAATGACCTGCAGAGAGCTGGGACCGAAGTAACAAAGCCTACCATCAGTAACACACTACGCCGCCAGGGACTCAAATCCTGTAGTGCCAGACGTGTCCCCCTGCTTAAGCCAGTACATGTCCAGGCCTGTCTGAAGTTTGCTAGAGTGCATTTGGATGATCCCAGAAGAGGATTGGGAGAATGTCATATGGTCAGATGAAACCAAAATAGAACTTTTTGGTAAAAACTCAACTCGTCGTGTTTGGAGGACAAAGAATGCTGAGTTGCATCCAAAGAACACCATACCTACTGTGAAGCATGGGGGTGGAAACATCATGCTTTGGGGCTGTTTTTCTGCAAAGGGACCAGGACGACTGATCCGTGTAAAGGAAAGAATTAATGGGGCCATGTATCGTGAGATTTTGAGTGAAAACCTCCTTCCATCAGCAAGGGCATTGAAGATGAAACGTGGCTGGGTCTTTCAGCATGACAATGATCCCAAACACACCGCCCGGGCAACGAAGGAGTGGCTTCGTAAGAAGCATTTCAAGGTCCTGGAGTGGCCTAGCCAGTCTCCAGATCTCAACCCCATAGAAAATCTTTGGAGGGAGTTGAAAGTCCGTGTTGCCCAGCGACAGCCCCAAAACATCACTGCTCTAGAGGAGATCTGCATGGAGGAATGGGCCAAAATACCAGCAACAGTGTGTGAAAACCTTGTGAAGACTTACAGAAAACGTTTGACCTGTGTCATTGCCAACAAAGGGTATATAACAAAGTATTGAGAAACTTTTGTTATTGACACAAATACTTATTTTCCACCATAATTTGCAAATAAATTCATTAAAAATCCTACAATGTGATTTTCTAGATTTGTTTTTCTCATTTTGTCTGTCATAGTTGACGTGTACCTATGATGAAAATTACAGGCCTCTCTCATCTTTTTAAGTGGGAGAACTTGCACAATTGGTGGCTGACTAAATACTTTTTTTCCCCACCGTACATGCGTCCTTCCTAACTCAGTTGACGGAGAGGAAGGAAACCGCTCAGGGATTTCACCATGAGGCCAATGGTGACTTTAAACCAGTTCCAGAGTTAAATGGCTGTGATAGGAGAAAACTGAGGATGGATCAACAACATTTTAGTTACTCCACAATACTAACCTAAATGACAGAATGAAAAGAAGGAAGCCTGTACAAAATAAAATATATTTCAAAACATGTATCCTGTTTGCAATAAGGAACTAAAGTAATACTGTAAAAAATATGGCAAAGAAACAAACTTTTTGTACTGAATACAAAGCCTTATGTTTGGGGCAAATCCAACACAACACATCACTGAGTACCACTCTTCATATTTTCAAGCATGGTGGTGGCTGCATCATGTTATGGGTATGCTTGTAATCGGCAAGGACTAGGGAGTTTTTTAGGATAAAAAGAAAAGGAATGGAGCTAAGCACAGGCAAAGTCCTAGAGGAAAACCTAGTTCAGTCTGCTTTCCACAAGACACTTGGAGACAAATCCACCTTTCAGCAGGACAATAACCTAAAACACAAGGCCAAATATACATTGGAGTTGCTTACCAAGACGACATTGCATGTTCCTGAGTGGCCTAGATACAGTTTTGACTTAAATCGTCTTGAAAAGCTATGGCAAGACTTGAAAATGGCTGTCTAGCAATGATCAACAACCAACTTGACAGAGTTTGAAAAAATATTAAAAGAATAATGGGCAAATATTGTACAATACAGCTTTGCAAAGCTCTTTGAGACTTACCCAGAAAGACTCACAGCTGTAATCGCTGCCAAAGGTGTTTTATTTTCCATTAATTATTATTATTATTATTTTTCACTTTGACATTACATAGTATTTTGTGTAGATCTTGTAACACAACAAAATTTGGAAAAAGTCAAGGGGTGTGAATACTTTCTGAAGGCACTGTAGTTATTTAGAAAGAGACAGATAAAAGCATGCAATAGGGGCTGGACTTGAGAAGACAGATACCTTTAGTGAACTGAGGTGATTTGCTGTGTGTTCCATCTCTGGAAGAGAGTCTAGGTTGTACTCTAGAAGCTCTATACCGCTGAATTCACTTTCACTCTAAAGGAAGAGGACATAGATAAGAGTTATATTGGAGTTATATTGGTCACATAATGAGAGTATGTTGACTAGCATTGACCGTGCTGTGCCTACCAAACTATGGTAAACTCACTCACCTGTAGATTCCTTGTCAGCATCTGCAGGCTTCTCATTTGCTGGACCATCATTGTCAGTTGGGCAAAGAGGGGGCACTTGTGGGTGGGGCGTGACCACGAAAGGACAAGCAGCTGCGCCAATAGCAGCAACAGGAGGAGAGACTGTGTTGAGTTAAGCCACGCTGCAGAGATAATAAATAAATTATCATTTTAGAGAGGTACATTGTGTAAGGCATTGGATCAGGGTTACATTCAAGATCACAGCATTCATCTACGTTTCAAAATAGGTTTGTTTTGAACAATAGGTTAAATTGTCACTGTTTACAATGCTATGCAACATTATTCAACAATTACTAAGTGGTGATTCAATAGCCTGGTACCAGACCACATGGTAGGCCTACATTAGAGTGAGTGGAGACGCTGATTGGTTAGCACATAACAGGTTTTTGTCTTCCCAGAGTGCAAGAAACCATCATGGAACCAAACATTTATTTTTACCTGGCCACTCCCCCCTTCACTTTGGCACAACATGCCTTTACCATGAGATGCCATATGCTCCCATGAGCGGGAAAAACAAAGACATGATAGGTTCCATTTGAAGAAGAGATTCCATTTGATAAAGGGGTCATCCAATCACCATGGAGTCCAACTGTTTCATAATTGACTCATCAAGCCGACAACTTCAAATAATATTTTATAGACTGTGGTTATTGCTAGCAAGCACTATGACTCTGAGTCTGGACAGTAGGCTAGTGATTAATTTGATGCTATCAAATCATAAGTATTGATGTCAACTGTTTTCGTAGCCAGCAGACTGCATCAGAAACACTGCAACCAAACCTTCATATAAATCACCAACCAGAACTAAACGAGATATTGCAGTTGAAGCCAAGTCATTGATGAAGAATGCTGAGTATGTTGTGGTAGACCTCTTAGGTTCCCTGTGAACATGAAGGAGTGATATGGAATCTGTCTGAACTACATATTGATGACCAGTACATCGGCAGTATAATAATACAGTAGCATGTATATCCCCTATACACTTCTTATAAACCATTATCAATACAGGATAGGGTTTGAAACAACTTCTAACTTCACCATTTCCTGTGCAGTACTTTCATTTAATTGAAAAATGCATTTGTCATTTCATTACCTGATTAATAGAGCACAGTCTGACACAGGCAAAAATCAATGATACTTTTAACATTTGCTTTAGGTTAGAAACAACATATGAATATGTTACATTTCGTCAATTTAGCCATAGAGTTAAAGAGAGTTACCTTAGAGGTAACTATTTCCTGTTCAGTCATTTCATGGAAAAATGAATGTCACTTTTGCACTGTCAAAAAGCTATTCCTGACCAAGTTTTCATACTGATTTTCAGCTGATTCAGGTACCATTAAACTGAAGTTTCCTGTAGCCTTGGGCTGATGTAACACACCCCCAAGTATTTGAGAATTTCCTTAGAAATTCGGCACACATTGTTGCTTGTAAGTGCATTGCTTTGTCTACGTACAGTGGAACAGTATTAGTCTAAGTTCAGTTTCTGGAAACGTATCATTATAGTGTGTTGGATATGCCTATATTACCCCCCCCCCCCCCCCCCACACACACACACAGAGAGACAGACATATTACATCCCCAGTCAATAGTATAGTATCATAAATACTTACATTTCATTGTCACCCGAAAATCCAAAAGTTGTAAATAAACTGTCAGCAGCCTCAATCGTTCATCCCCCTAAATGAGTTCACAAATCCAAACGTTCTTTTTTATAGAATCTGTACGATGACACATCACCTGAGTCACCAAATCCATTCATAGAAGAACGCCCCCGCAAGCCTCCTCTCTCCCTCCTCCCTTCCAAAACACGGCTATTCACTTTCTTTCTTTGTTTTCCATCATACCGATTGGGTTCTTTATACCAGTTGGGTTCTTTATACTGGTTGGGTTCATTAGTTGGGTTCTGGTTGGGTTCTTTATACCAGTTGGATTCTTTATACTGGTTGGGTTCTTTATACTGGTTGGGTTCATTTGTTGGGTTCTGGTTGGGTTCTTTATACCAGCTGGGTTCTTTATACTGGTTGGGTTCTTTATACTGGTTGGGTTCTTTATATGGGTTGGGTTCTTTATACTGGGTGGGTTCATTAGTTGGGTTCTGGTTGGGTTCTTTATACCAGTTGGATTCTTTATACTGGTTGGGTTCTTTATACTGGTTGGGTTCATTTGTTGGGTTCTGGTTGGGTTCTTTATACCAGCTGGGTTCTTTATACTGGTTGGGTTCTTTATACTGGTTGGGTTCTTTATACGGGTTGGGTTCTTTATACTGGTTGGGGTCTTTATACTGGTTAGGGTCTTTATACTGGTTGTGTTCTTAAAACCGGTTGTGTTCTCTTATCAAGCCGTTCTATTGAATTATCTTGGGTTTGAAATAGTGATGCAATCATAATGCAATCAGACACTGGGAGAAAAAAAACTGTCCCACTTCGTAACTCTGATATGATATGAGTTGCAATGAGGCTCATCTAAAAGAGATGATTCAAAACTAACATTTATCAGACATGTTTGATAATATATTTGAAACGGTTGCTAAGTGGTGATTCCTTTTTATCTGAGTTTTAAATCGTTCTCCTCCCTTAGTAAAATAATCCCAAAACATTTCCCCACACACAACCCACCCAACCCTCTCTGTAGCTAGCAAGTACTCTCAGATCTCCCTGCTAGCATTCTGCCTGTTGTTGTTTCATGGATGGACATAAACGCAAAGAGACTCAGACAGAACAGACAAAGGAGATGAGTGCGCCATGATGTCATCAAAGATCCGCCACTTCCCTCCTGGTGGGAAATCAGGGGGCCCAGAGGGGGGCAGGGAGGGGGTGTCAGATCACGCCCTGCATCTTCCGTCATCCCCCCCCCCCTACTTTATTTCCTGTTCATTGATGGAGGCAATGGAATGTGATGAATTTCAAGAGAGAAAACATGGTAGAATGGCATTAAGAGATTTATTCGACTGTTTACCACACAACCCCCTGCATGGTTTAACATCATCTACAGAGAAGAAGACTGATGATGCTGAACCACAAACCAAAATCATTCAAGTACAATTTAGTACTATTTTAGGAAATACAACTATAAGTGCATAAAGCATTGCATTAATCCAGATATACAGTCTTACACATTGAGGTGTAAATATGTAGCTCACAGGGGCAATACAGAGGCATCATGCCCATTTGAGTTTATCCATTTGTACACTGAAAATACAGAAGCTATGGTTTATCTTACACATTCATCCAAAGATATCCAATTTGGCCATCAGTGCCCCATTAAAATAAATCAGGTGCATGATGCCTCTGGATCATATTGAACTCATTCAGGCAAAATACACTAGCAGAGGTGATGACATTCAGAAGGCATCAGGTATTTTGGGATCAACAAATATATGATCTGAAGCAAAAGATACAAGATTAACATTTTCCATACAACAAAGGTCAAATGCAAAGGTCAAATCTGGAGCTGTTTTGCCTTGTGGTTTCAGGGCGCAGCTCTTTCATTTCTTCTGCCAATTCTATTCGGGTTTTCATAAGAGCAAGCTTCACCTGGGGCAGCCCTGGTCATCTGTCAGAGGAAGACATTGTGCATGGACACACACACAAACTCATTGATGATTTTGAACTGTACCTTATTCAAATGAATCCTCATACATAACAGTTAGCTTAAATACCTAAAAACTCAAACATTGTATTTTGTTGTTTTGAGTTTATATTTGAGGTTTTTCTTCATAATCACCTGGAGTTGGTCATAGCCAGAGCTGATGCTGGCGATCCTTAGGTTGGTGTATGTGTTGTCCCCTTTCCCTGAGAGGGAGAGCTCTATCTGCTAAAATATTAAGGATACATAATTGTATGTAAACAGAGGAGTTATATTACCCAACAGAGGTATCAATACTATATAACATTTAATACAAAATAGGAGTATTAGTGGTACATGTTTTATACAAAACCACAGTAAACATGTATAATAGTCATACTGAGAATTGTTAAAGTTTTGATGTAGAATTTAACACTTTGCCTCTGTATCACATCAAACTCTGAGTATCAAACTGCATCATCTACTGCATATGTCTTAAAGTTGCTCAGTGGTTGAGGTTGGTTAAACAGAATATTATGAAATGAAAATGTTCCTCTTACTTTCAATCTTCTGGAGAGACTTAATAGGGAAGGAAAAGGGGGAACTTGGATTAGAACAAAGAGGATTGGAACAGTCCTTCTATAAATGTATTCCTAAACTCGATGGGCATGACCACATAAACAATGACACCTTTTATATTTATACACATCCACGGTGACAGTCAGAACATAGAGCAACACCATCACTCCACAGATGATGTAGGGGGCCATCTTGGAAAATTGTCCACCTGAAAACAATGGGAATAGAACATGGTTTTTAAAGTTGACTATTAATTTGTTGTCCATTTGGCTTGAGTGTTAACCATTTAGAATATACATATAATATTTACTTTTCAACAACAGCACTTTCAACAAATTAAATGGCACCCTATTTCGTATATAGTGCACTTGTCATAAAGTGAACAAAATGGGTTACTTTCTAACTCCAGAGGCATGGCCTTTGACCTCTGTGATCCCTTCTGGTTGTGGGCCTCACAGAGGTACAGCCCGCTGTCTGCCTTGCTGACCAGGAGGACCAGTGTCTGCCCATTGGCCTTCCAGGTCACCTGCCCACTGATGTCTTTGTACCAGGAGTAAAGCTCCACCGGTGGGTTGGCATCACTCTGGCAGGTCAGGGTCACTGCCCTACCCTCAGGCACAGACCCAGTTGGGCTGGACAGGGCTACAGTGTTTTTAGGGGCATCTGGAAGACAAAATCCACACTGAGGTATGCAAGCTCATTTTGATCTGGAAGATTAAAGACCAATTCCCACAGGGAACGTTCGTCATGTGAGCGTCAACGAGCGTGCAAATGATAGAAATAGAATGTATTGAAGTGAATGAGAGAAAACAGAAAAAAATACAAATAATTAGTGTCATTTTTAAGTCTCACTAGTGAGCTGGAAGGTTGCCATAGTATTGAGAACATGATCTAGAAAGCACTATTGAGAAGATACACATACAGTGTATGAGGAAGGGAAGAATCATTGCATAGGTATGATTAGCTAAATCACTGCCTATTTCCTGCTAATTCATGTCTAACCAGTTAGTTTTTTATACCCTTTATACTGTTTAGCACTAAACAGTTAAATGACCAATGAACTAATCATGTTTGCACACAGAATAAAGAGATTACACTACGGTTTATGGTTGTGGTCATATGGTTGCGGTGTGGTCATGTGATTATGGTTGTTGTGGTCTCTCACACAGAACATTGAGGGTCAGGTTCCCCTCAGTCGTCTTGGTGGTGCCCCCTGACTGCAGTGTGTAGCGGGCAGAACATTTGACCATCAGCGCGTGATGGGGGAGGGAGGCGGTAAAAGTTAGGGTGGAGGTCATGGTCATGAGCCCATCTATACCCTCCTGTAGCTGGCTCTCAACACTTCCACCCAGCCCAGAGGTCCAGGTCAGGGAGGGCGGCAATGTAGGGCAGGGGGCGGGGGCAGAGCAGCTCAGTCTAACCTGCTCCCCCTCTGTGATGTTGCCCATAGAGATCAGTTGGGGTTTGGGTGGGGTGTCTGGGTGGATGAAAATATGTGGGAGAGAGGGCGATATTGAATCAATAACATGACATAAAGTGGCCCAATGGCATGCCGTATGGGGCAACCAGATTGAAACTAACTTTGCTAACAACATCACTTTTCATGTTGAGTATTTGATTCTAGGGGCTCGATTCAATCAGATCCGCTTTAGCCGACACCGCAAACGGTTGTTTTGGTGATGCCTGAGGTGGAATGGTTCAAATCCACAAGCGGCTCCTTGCGTTACCTTATCGCGGACACTGAATTGGACCACCCGATTTTATAATTCGACAAATCCCATGCAGCCGCGTTAGAGGTAGGCAGTTCTGAAAATGATGCCTCATTGATGACCTTCGACTGCACAAATAAGGAGAACGTAGCAAGGTGGCTTTTGTAGGCTATAGCCTATTTGATTGAATGGTTTTACTTGAGAGTCAACATCTCTATCATCGATAGAGCCTACACTTTCAATCGCTGTTTTGAACTTCTAACGTGGTAGGGATAATAAGGAAGGAAGTGGTTTGTGACACACAAGAGCAGCCACTCACCAATTTGTCAGCTCATACTGCAGTTACACCTCCAACACCACCAAAACATCCACTATGCGTCTGTCGGCCAACACGCGTTAACGCTCGATCTGATTGAATCGAGCCCTAAGTTTGCTATTAGTATTCATAAGAGTTCAATCTAGTCATTTTGTTAGAATGTTTAGCCCTAAGGGTATAATCCAATGGGTAATCATATACAGTGGGGAGGCTATATATACAGTAGGGAGGCTATATATACAGTGGGGAGGCTATATATACAGTGGGGAGGCTATATATACAGTGGGGAGGCTATATATACAGTGGGGAGGCTATATATACAGTGGGGAGGCTATATATACAGTGGGGAGAACAAGTATTTGATACACTGCCGATTTTGCAGGTTTTCCTACTTACAAAGCATGTAGAGGTCTGTAATTTTTATCATAGGTACACTTCAACTGTGAGAGACGGAATCTAAAACAAAAATCCAGAAAATCACATTGTATGATTTTTAAGTAATTATTTTGCATTTTATTGCATGACATAAGTATTTGATGCATCAGAAAAGCAGAACTTAATATTTGGTACAGAAACCTTTGTTTGCAATTATAGAGATCATACGTTTCCTGTAGGTCTTGACCAGGTTTGCACACACTGCAGCAGGGATTTTGGCCCACTTCTCCATACAGACCTTCTCCAGATCCTTCAGGTTTCGGGGCTGTCGCTGGGCAATACGGACTTTCAATGATGACGGTCAATCCCTCACCTTCCTCATGATCATTGATGCCACACGAGGTGAGATCTTGCATGGAGCCCCAGACCGAGGGTGATTGACCGTCATCTTGAACTTCTTCCATTTTCTAATAATTGCGCCAACAGTTGTTGCCTTCTCACCAAGCTGCTTGCCTATTGTCCGGTAGCCCATCCCAGCCTTGTGCAGGTCTACAATTTTATCCCTGATGTCCTTACACAGCTCTCTGGTCTTGGCCATTGTGGAGAGGTTGGAGTCTGTTTGATTGAGTGTGTGGACAGGTGTCTTTTATACAGGTAACGAGTTCAAACAGGTGCAGTTTATACAGGTAATGAGTGGAGAACAGGAGGGCTTCTTAAAGAAAAACTAACAGGTCTGTGAGAGCCGGAATTCTTACTGGTTGGTAGGTGATCAAATACTTATGTCATGCAATAAAAAGCAAATTAATTACTTAAAAATCATACAATGTGATTTTCTGGATTTTTGTTTTAGATTCCGTCTCTCACAGTTGAAGTGTACCTATGATAAAACTTACAGACCTTTACATGCTTTGTAAGTAGGAAAACCTGCAAAATCGTCAGTGTATCAAATACTTGTTCTCCCCACTGTATCTCTTAGGTAAGGTAAAACTCTGTACCTGTATGATTGATATTTACACCTGGTATAAAGTTATATTTGAGGCGATTTGTTCCAGGACATTCCAGCCTGAAGATATATGTGTCATCATATCCTGCAGGGAAACTGTTGAAAATAGTGGTGCAGTTCTTGTCCAACAGATTTCCCACCATCACTCCCTTGATGATGTTTTGGGCATCCGTTTGGGCTGAGTGGAAAACAATATTTCCCAATTCGTGATTTTTCTTCCAAATCCCAGTGACTGTGCAGTTTTTCAAGTCAGCATCAAACTTCGCAGGGTTCTTGAACCTACATGGGACCAGTAGGCAGGCTCCACCAACAGCCACAATGCTTTGGGGCGTCCACAGACTCCACTGTTGGCAGAGAGCACCTGGAGAACACAGCACCATCAAGAAACACTGAACAGCAAAACCTGGACTCAGGGATAGACGTAACATAGTAAACATAAAATCTGTCTGCCTTCATTTCGTATGATATGTTAAGAATTACAATTCGTATGATATGTTACGAATTGCAATTCGGCCCATCTGAAATTAGCCCACCCAACTACCTCATCCCTATATTGTTATTTATTTTGCTAATTTGCACCCCAGTATCTCTATTTGCACATAATCTCTTGCACATCTATCATTCCAGTGTTAATACTAATTGTAATTATTTTGCACCATAGCCTTTTTATTGCCTTACCTCCATAACTTGCTACATTTCCACACACTGTATATATATTTTTGTTGTATTTTTGACTTTATGTTTTGTTTTACCCCATGTGTAACTCTGTGTTGTTGTTTTTATCGCACTGCTTTGCTTTATCTTGGCCAGGTCGCAGTTGTAAATGAGAACTTGTTCTCAACTGGCTTACCTGGTTAAATAAAGGTTAAATAAAAAAAATAAAAAAAATAAAAAAGTATAATATATTATAAATTTGCAAAACGTATGATATGTTATAAATTCCACTTTGCTGTACAAACTTAGCTAGGTGGCTATGTGGGTTAGGGTGGGGTTAGCGTTAGGTGTTAGGGGTTAGTTTTAGGGGAAGGTTTAGCTAACATGCTAAGTAAATGCAAAGTAGCTAAAAAGTAGTACAGTAAGTAGTTGCAAATTAGCTAAAATGCTAAAGTTGTCCATGATGTGATTCGAAAACGCAACCTTTGAGTTGCTAGACGCTCGCGTTATACGTCTACCCATCCTCCCCGACCAACCTCCCTCCTTTCATTTTTGGCATTAATAACCTTCTGTCTTATGTAACCATACCAAACGTAACATATCATAGTAATTTGAGTGTCACAGATTTACATTTACTATGTTACGTCTAGTCTTTGAGGCCAGGCTGAACAGCAAAACACATTTCTTTGCACAAACAAACACACACACGAACACACACACACAAAATTTGATCAATCTCACACACACTTGTTGAAACATTCAAGCACACATTGATGTTATCAGTAAAATGCCAATTACTTTTTAATTGGCAGTAAGTCAAAGTGTGTTCAAGTTAAGAGGGATGTATAGTATGCACAATCAGGGAGAAACTGACCTTTCAACAGAAAAGTGGTGAAAGCAATAAACCACAGACCCATCTGTGATGTTGTTGAGGTGCCATCCACAGTAAGAATACACTTCAAATAAACATAGAGATAGAAAAATATTGTGTTTATTGTGTAATGCTTCTGAGATACTATAAACATGTATTTTAGATGAAATAATGAAAAAGCCTTACCTGTGACTGAGTAAAAGAGATCATGGCTATTGAGATCACCGATATATCCAAAATGGCAAAGGTTGTTTAATCAAAGCAAGAAGCTGTCTTTTCTTTTATATGCATTGGGAAATAAAGGGAAATCCAAACCCTGCTTGCTCAATGCTTAACCAATGACAAACATCAGAATGAAGAGGATGTTTGCTACAGTTGATAGAACATTTACAATTGGTTGCAACATTCTGTGGCAGGATATCTCTGACTTCTCTATTGTAATAAGGCACAACGTGATGACTTGTCACAGTCTGCCACCAGAGTGCAACATCCCCATGTAGGAGCCACCAAAACTATCAGGGGCCAGAGGCATTCTGCAGATAGCTTTTATAAAGCACTGTATACAGTGGTGCAGTACATGCATCAGTAAGACAGCTATTGTTACATTTGGAAAGTGATATACTCTACCTCTATATTCTCACATACCGTATCAAATCTGCAATAAAACAAAAAATTGTGATTGAATGATGCGTTTAGATCATTATATTCTTTGCTTGGCAGGACACAGTAGATAAAGTAGTAACATTTGATACTATGAGATTGGGATGCCACCATGAAAAAGCCCTTATCTTGACTTAATTAGCTACTAACTACACCATAATTCATCATAAAGTCATCATTTATTACTAATTACTGTCGATTTTGGGGGCATTTGCCTCATTCTGGGTGTGTCTGTTGGCTGAACATAGAGAATACAGGAAGGAAGTGGACACTCTAGGACTCCAGTTAAAGAGGGAAGAGCGTCCAACAACCGATTAAGGCATGGTCAGTAGTCCACACCCCCTTCCACACTTCCTATCTGTGTGAGCAGAGAGAGGGGGTGGGAAAGAGGATGGGAGCGAGAGAGATGGAGTGTGAGAAAGATTGAGCGAGAGACCGGAAGTTCACAGATCTCTCATGTCCTTTCTGTGGCCACTTCACCCAAGTGACACAGTGACTTATGGTTGAGGGCCACATCATTTAGACACACAGACACACTCACACAGGAAGGACAGATAAGATTGTGAGCATTGTAGGGACACAGACCTATCTGTAAACTAAAGACACACAGCTTAGAACTATGAACCTCCACGCTTTGCTCAACCACTGAAGCTAAACATGATGGACAGCTACTACTGGAACATCTCAACTCATAGGTAAGCATTATCAGTATGAATAACAACAACCGTATACAGCGTTTTTTTGGCTTTACTTTTCATTTAGTTTCTTCAATCACTTTATTTGGATATTTTCAAATACAGGAGAGAATATTCTCTAGATGTTCTGACTATCAAGAGATGATTGGTTCGATTTAGTTAGAGACCACGTAAACTCTTTTGACATGCAGCAACTCTGTCTTCTGACTTTCTATACTGGCCACCCAAGCTGTACACGTATGTAGTTGTAGCACGCTATAGTCTATTCTGTACAAATTATGAGATTCTGTGGATAGTTAGCTGAATATATACAGATAATCCGTCAGGGACTATATAAAGAAGATACTGTATGTTACCCTTTATCTGTGTCCATTGCTTTCCATTGAAATATCACCACATGCCAGCTCAAATTGAGTTGCCAACAAGACGGATAATGATTAGCCACTGATATACATTACTACTGTAGATGAAAATATTGAGTAAAGGCTAGATATGGACGGTTTGTTTCGCAGCATTTATTGAAACGTAATTTAGCCAGGAACAGTAAGTCATTGAAAACAAAGTCTCTTCTACATTTACAAGCAGGGGTGAACAGCATTTAATCACGTAGGCAAACATGAATACTGTAGCAATAACACAAACTGCCATAAAATAGGAGGTGTAATAAAACAATTTAATCCAGAACTATCAGTCCACTGTGCTAGACACATTGCTCATGAAGTCACCAGTACATACGGAATGTCAGTCACATCTAACAATAAGACATAATTCTTTAGCTTGACAATAAAGAAATCGGAATCTAAAACAAAAATCCAGAAAATCACATTGTATGATTTTTAAGTAATTAATTTGCATGACATAAGTATTTGATCACCTACCAACCAGTAAGAAGTCCGGCTCTCACAGACCTGTTAGTTTTTCTTTAAGAAGCCTTCCTGTTCTCCACTCATTACCTGTATAAACTGCACCTGTTTGAACTCGTTACCTGTATAAAAGACACCTGTCCACACACTCAATCAAACAGACTCCAACCTCTCCACAATGGCCAAGACCAGAGAGCTGTGTAAGGACATCAGGGATAAAATTGTAGACCTGCACAAGGCTGGGATGGGCTACAGGACAATAGGCAAGCAGCTTGGTGAGAAGGCAACAACTGTTGGCGCAATTATTAGAAAATGGAAGAAGTTCAAGATGACAGTCAATCACCCTCGGTCTGGGGCTCCATGCAAGATCTCACCTCATGGGGCATCAATGATCATGAGGAAGGTGAGGGATCAGCCCAGAACTACACGGCAGGACCTGGTCAATGACCTGAAGAGAGCTGGGACCACAGTCTCAAAGAAAACCATTAGTAACACACTACGCCGTCATGGATTAAAATCCTGCAGTGCACGCAAGGTCCCCGTGCTCAAGCCAGCGCATGTCCAGGCCCGTCTGAAGTTTGCCAATGACATCTGGATGATCCAGAGGAGGAATGGGAGAAGGTCATGTGGTCTGATGAGACAAAAATAAAGCTTTTTGGTCTAAACTCCACTCGCCGTGTTTGGAGGAAGAAGAAGGATGAGTACAACCCCAAGAACACCATCCCAACCGTGAAGCATGGAGGTGGAAACATCATTCTTTGGGGATGCTTTTCTGCAAAGGGGACAGGACGACTGCACCATATTGAGGGGAGGATGGATGGGGCCATGTATCGCTAGATCTTGGCCAACAACTTCCTTCCCTCAGTAAGAGCATTGAAGATGGGTCGTGGCTGGGTCTTCCAGCATGACAACGACCCAAAACACACAGCCAGGGCAACTAAGAAGTGGCTCCGTAAGAAGCATCTCAAGGTCCTGGAGTGGCCTAGCCAGTCTCCAGACCTGAACACAATAGAACATCTTTGGAGGGAGCTGAAAGTCTGTATTGCCCAGCGACAGCCCCGAAACCTGAAGGATCTGGAGAAGGTCTATATGGAGGAGTGGGCCAAAATCCCTGCTGCAGTGTGTGCAAACCTGGTCAAGACCTACAGGAAATGTATGATCTCTGTAATTGCAAACAAAGGTTTCTGTACCAAATATTAAGTTCTGCTTTTCTGATGTATCAAATACTTATGTCATGCAATAAAATGCAAATTAGTTACTTAAAAATCATACAATGTGATTTTCTGGATTTTTGTTTTAGATTCCGTCTCTCACAGATGAAGTGTACCTATGATAAAAATTACAGACCTCTACATGCTTTGTAAGTAGGAAAACCTGCAAAATCGGCAGTGTGTCAAATACTTGTTCTCCCCACTGTAGACTGAAAGTTTATTGGTTGCCAGACAACAGGACTGTTTGTTTTACTGTTGGCTCACTCATGGGAATATACATACAATGCATTCGGAAAATATTCAGACCCCTTGACTTTTTCCACATTTTGTTACGTTACAGCCTTATTCTAAAATGAATGAAATCGTTTTTATTTCTCATCAATCTATAAACAATATCCCATAATAACAAAGCAAAAAAACGTTTTTGCTGTGGGGTTGTTTTTCAGCGGCAGGGACTGGGAGACTAGTCAGGATCAAGGGAAAGATGAACGGAGCAAAGTACAGAGAGATCCTTGATGAAAACCTTCTCCAGAGCGCTCAGGACCTCAGACTGGGGCGAAGGTTCACTTTCCAACAGGACAACAACCCTAAGCACACAGCCAAGACAACACAGGAGTGGCTTCGGGACAAGTCTCTGAATGTCCTTGAGTGGCTCAGCCAGAGCCCGGACTTGAACACGATCGAACATCTCTGGAGAGACCTGAAAATAGCTGTGCAGCGACGCTCCCCATCCAACCTGACAGAGCTTGAGAGGATCTGCAGAGAAGAATGGGAGAAACTCCCCAAATACAGGTTGTCAAGCTTGTAGCGTCATACCCAAGAAGACTCGAGGCTGTAATCGCCGCCAAAGTTTTTTAATTAAATGTGCAACTATTTCTGCAAAACGTTTTAAATAACTGTTTTTGCTTTGTCATTATAGGGTATTGTGTGTTGATTGATGAGGAAAAAAACAAATGTAATCCATTTTAGAATAAGGCTGTAATGTAACAAAATGTGGAAAAAGTTAAGGGGTCCGAATGCACTGCTCACTGATGGGAATATACACCTCTTCGGCAGTTTTACTATCTCACCACCAGGGGATGCTGCAACACCTTCAGCACACCTACTTCCCGCAGCTATGACTCAGAGAGACTGGTGAAATGAGTCATAAGCCAAAACAATCATATGATTCCTGTCTATGTATGCCTCTGGAAAGGAAATGGAGATACTGTATGCAAAATGGAACAGGATGGCAATCATGTTCTTACAAGTTCCTTGTTGGACTGATATGTTTTAGGTAGAATGCAGACAATATGTCAATATCCAATGAATTCAAATCAAATCAAATCATCAACAAAAAAATGTCACATGTGCCGAATACAGCAGGTACCGTGAAATGCTTACTTACAAGCCGTTAACCAACAATGTAGTTCAAGAAATAGATTTAAGAAAATATTTACTAAATAAACTAAAGTTAATAAGTAACACAATAAAATAACAATAACGAGGGGGTACCAGTACCGAGTCAATGTGCGGGGGTACAGGTTAGTCGAGGTAATTTGTACATGTAGGTAGGGTTAAAGTGACTATGCATAGATAATAAACAGCGAGTAGCAGCAGTGTAAAAACAAAGGGAGGGGGGAGGGGGGTCAATGTAAATAGTCCGGGAGGCCATTTTATTAATTGTTCAGCAGTGTCGGATTACTGTTATTTCTCTAATTAACTAACTATGTTTAATTGTTACCCAATGAAATGAATCATGTAACAATTAACTCATTAGGATTTGGGGCACCACGAGAGCG